CAAACGCTCCATGAACGCTCTCCAGACTCGGGAGGTAAACTGGGGGCCTCGATCAGACACTATATCCTCGGGTACCCCGTAATGCCGGAAGACGTGGGTAAATAGTGCCTCAGCGGTCTGTAGGGCAGTAGGAAGACCCGACATAGGGAGGAGGCGACAGGCCTTAGAGAACCGGTCCACAACGACCAGGATGGTGGTATTCCCCTGAGAAGGGGGAAGGTCTGTCACAAAATCCACCGAGAGGTGGGACCAGGGTCGTTGTGGAACGGGCAGGGGTTGTAACTTACCCCTGGGCAAATGTCTGGGCGCCTTACACTGGGCGCACACCGAGCAGGAGGAGACATAAACCCTCACATCCCTGGCTAACGTTGGCCACCAGTACTTAGTACTAAGACAATGCACTGTCCTGGATGTCCAGAGGAGGGTGACGTGTGAGCCCAGTAAATGAGTCGATCCCGAACCTCGAGCGGAACTTACTTCCGACCCACAGGACACTGTGGAGGGCTAGGGTCGGCACGCAACGCCCACTCGATTTCAGCATCGACCTCCCACACAACCGGTGCCACTAGACAAGACGCCGGTAGTATGGGGGTAGGCTCAACGGACCTCTCCTCTGTGTCATACCGCCGGGACAGAGCGTCTGCCTTCCTGTTCTGGGACCCAGGGATGTACGTGATTTTAAATACGAACCTGGCTAGAAACATGCTCCAACGAGCCTGGCGAGGGTTCAGTCTCCTAGCTGCCCGGATGTACTCCAGGTTCCGATGGTCAGTCAAAATGAGGAAAGGGTGTTGAGCCCCCTCAAGCCAATGCCTCCACACCTTAAGGGCCTGGACCACAGCTAACAGCTCTCTGTCCCCCACGTCATAATTTCGCTCCGCCGGGCTGAGCTTCTTAGAGTAAAAAGCACAGGGGCGGAGTTTAGGTGGCGTGCCAGACCGTTGAGAGAGAACGGCCCCTATACCGGCCTCAGACGCGTCCACTTCAACCTGAAAAGGTAGGGCGGGATCCGGATGCGCCAGCACCGGAGCCGAAGTAAACAGGTCCTTCAGTCTCCCAAAAGCCCTGTCCGCCTCAGCCGACCACTGCAGGCGCACCGGACCCCCTTTCAGCAGAGACGTTATGGGAGCTGCCACCTGTCCAAAACCCCGGATAAACCTCCGGTAGTAATTCGCAAAGCCCAAGAACTGCTGCACCTCTTTAACAGTGGTTGGGGTTTGCCAATTACGCACGGCTGACACACGGTCCACCTCATTCTTCACCCCTGACGCGGACAACCGATAACCCAAAAAGGAGACCGACTCCTGGAAAAACAGACATTTCTCTGCCTTGACATACAGGTCGTGCTCCAACAGCCTCCTCAATACACAACGCACCAGGGCTACATGCTCGGCTCGGGTAGATGAGTACACTAGAATGTCATCAATGTACACGACCACCCCTTGCCCCTGCATATCTCGGAAGATCTCATCCACAAAGGATTGGAAGACTGAAGGAGCATTCATCAACCCGTATGGCATGACGAGATATTCGTAATGTCCCGAAGTGGTACTAAATGCTGTTTTCCATTCGTCGCCCTCCCTAATGCGCACCAGATTATACGCGCTCCTGAGATCCAGTTTTGTGAAAAACCGCGCTCCGTGCAATGACTCCGTCATGGTCGCAATCAGAGGGAGTGGATAACTGTATTTCACAGTAATCTGATTGATACCACGGTAATCAATGCACGGGCGCAACCCTCCATCTTTTTTCTTCACAAAAAAGAAGCTCGAGGACGCAGGGGAAGTGGAGGGCCGTATGTATCCCTGTCTCAAAGATTCGGCTATGTAAGTCTCCATAGCCTTTCTCTCCTCTTGAGACAAAGGATACACGTGGCTCCATGGGAGCGCTGCTCCTGCCTGGAGGTCTATCGCACAATCCCCCTGTCTATGAGGAGGCAACCGCGTCGCCCTCACCTTACTGAACACCAGTGCCAAATCCCCATATTCAGGTGGAATGTGCAATGCGGGCACTTGGTTTGGACTTTCCACCGAGGTCGCCCCCACGGAAACACCCAGACATCGCCCCTCACACTGAGCAGACCACTCCTTAAGAGCTCTCTGTTGCCACGAAATGGCAGGGTTATGGGTACTTAACCAGGGAATTCCCAGCACCACGCAGGGGAGTCGATCAGATATAGCTGAATAGTCTCCTTATGACCCCCCTGCGCACACATCCTAAGTGGCGCTGTGACTTCCCTAATCAACCCCGACCCCAACGGACGGCTATCTAACGCATGAACGGGAAAAGGATCGTTGACAGGCAGGAGGAGAATCCCTAACTCTAAACAAAACCTCCGGTCAACAAAATTCCCAGCTGCGCCTGAATCTACGAACGCCTTATGCTGGGAATGAGGTGCAACCTGTGGGAAACTAACAGGTATACAAAAGTGCACAACAGAGAGCTCTGGGTAAGTGGGGCGTCTACTCACCTGGGAGGTCTCCCCAGTGCGTGGCCTGTCGTCCCCTCCTCCTGGAGACCCTCCCCAGCACCTGGCTGCAGTGTGCCCTCTACGGCCGCAGTTGGTGCAGGGGACAGCCCCCCTCGGGCTCCTTCTCCTCCTTTCTCTAGCGCCAGCACCCCCGAGCTCCATGGGACTCGGCTCGGAGGTGCTGGAGGATGGAATGGACGGCCCCCACTCGGACCGTCCACGGGTGGCCAGCAGGGTGTCCAGACGGATGGACATGTCGACCAACTGGTCGAAGGTGAAATTGGTGTCCCTGCAGGCCAACTCACGTTGAACGTCCTCCCGTAGGCTACATCGAAAATGATCGATGAGGGCCCGTTCATTCCACCCTGCATCTGCCGCTAGAGTCCGGAACTCCAATGCGAACGCCTGTGCGCTCCTCTTCCCCTGTCGGAGGTAGAACAGACGCTCCCCCGCCGCTTTGCCCTCTGGTGGATGGTCGAACACGGCCTTGAAGCGACGGGAGAACTCCGCGTAGGAGATGGTGCTGGCGTCTATCCTCCTCCACTCGGCGTTGGCCCATTCCAATGCCTTGCCCGTGAGACAGGAGATGAGGGCGGAAACGCTCTCGTGTCCCGAGGGCACCGGGTGTACAGTGGCTAGGTAGAGCTCCACCTGCAGGAGGAACCCCTGACACCCGGCAGCTGTACCGTCATACGCCCTCGGGAGTGAGAGCCGAATCCCACTGGGTTCCGGGCCTGGGACGGGCGGACCGACCGATGGTGGTGGTAAGGTAGGTGGAGGTGTGGGTACCCCTCTGGACTCCAAACGGTGCAGGGTGTTGATGACGTCCTGCAGAGCAGTCCCCAGTTGTCGGATCTGGTCATCCTGGCCGCGGATATGCTCCTCAAGCTACCCAGGTGCTGCTGCTCCTGCTGATTCCATATTGTGGTGTGTAATTCTGTCACGAACTCTGATGCGGATGTGGTGCGAATCAATAGCAGGACACAGGAGCTCAGGTAATCCAGACTTTACTAGAAAATCCAAAAATCATAACACGGGTCAAACAACCCGGAGGCTAAACATACGCCACAGTGCATAAAACACTCCCAAACCGAACTACGCACGAACAATAGTGCGACGGTAAAACAAAGAGAGTCTAGCAAACAGCACTGCACCAAACGACAGGAAAACAATTACACACAACACATGACAAACAAATGGAACTATAAATAGGGTACATAATCACACTAACAGGGAACAGGTGCACAACAACTAGACAAAACCAAACGAACATCGAAAACATCCAACGGTGGCAGCTAGTACTCCGGAGACGACGACCGCCGAAGCCTGCCCGAGCAAGGAGGAGGAGCAGCCTCGGCCGAAACCGTGACACCTCTGCTACGTAAAAATGTATGCACACATGACTGTAAGTCGCTTTGGATAAAAGCGTCTGCTAAATGGCATATTATTTTATATTATATTTAGGATAAGTTCATTGGAGTTACCAGCCTCAGAAATTGCAGCCCAAATAAATGCTTCACAGAGTTCAAGTCACAGACACATCTCAACATCAACTGTTCAGAGGGGACTGTGTGAATCAGGCCTTCATGGTCGAATTGCTGCAAAGAAACCACTACTAAAGGACACCAATAAGAAGAAGAGACTTGCTTGGGCCAAGAAACACGAGCAATGGACATTAGAACGGTGGAAATTTGTCCTTTGGTCTGGAGTCCTAATTTGAGATTTTTGGTTACAACTGCCGTGTCCTTGTAAGACGCGGTGTGGGTGAACGGATGATCTCAGCATGTGCTGTTCCGTAAATTATGGAGGAGGAGGTGTTATGGTGTGGGGGTGCTTTGTTTGTTGGTGACACTGTCTGTGATTAATTTAGAATTCAAGGCACACTAAACCAGCATGGCTACCACAGCATTCTGCAGCGATACGCCTTCCCATCTTGTTTGGGCTTAGTGGGATTATCATTTGTTTTTCAACAGGACAATGACACAACACACCTCCAGGCTGTGTAAGGGCTATTTTACCAAGAAGGAGAGTGATGGAGTGCTGCATCAGATGACCTGGCCTCCACAATCCCTCTACCTCAACCCAATTGAGATGGTTTGAGATGAGTCGGATGGCAGAGTGAAGGAAAAGCAGCCAACAAGTGCTCAGCATATGTGGGAACTCCATCAAGACTGTTGGAAAAGCATTCGAGGTGGAGTTGGTTGAGAGAATGCCAAGAGTGTGCAAAGCTATCATCAAGGCAAAGGGTGGCTATTTGAAGAATCTCTAATATAAAATACATTTTGATTTGTTTAACACTTTTTTGGTTACTACATGATTCCATATGTGTTATTTCATAGTTTTGATGTCTTCACTATTTTTCTACTATGTTGAAAATTTTAAAAATAAAGAAAAACCCTTGAATTAGTAGGTGTGTCCAAACTTTTGACTGGTACTGTATGTTAATTGCTTATCATCTTGTTATACGTTTTGGCTATTAATAACCATTTTTTTACTCAGTAACTTTTAGATGTTTTGATCCTTTACAGATGACAGAGCATATAACAACCTGACTGAGGAAAGATACCAGTTACATACCAGTTACAACAATCTGACTGCAGAGAGAGACCAGTTACAGACCAGTTACAACAATCTGACTGCAGAGAGAGACCAGTTACAGACCAGATACAACAATCTGACTGCAGAGAGATACCAGTTACAGACCAGTTACTACAATCTGACTGCAGAGAGAGACCAGTTACAGACCAGTTACAACAATCTGACTGCAGAGAGAGACCAGTTACAGACCAGTTACAACAATCTGACTGCAGAGAGAGACCAGTTTACAGACCAGATACAACAATCTGACTGCAGAGAGATACCAGTTACAGACCAGTTACTACAATCTGACTGCAGAGAGAGACCAGTTACAGACCAGTTACAACAATCTGACTGCAGAGAGAGACCAGTTACAGACCAGTTACAACAATCTGACTGCAGAGAGAGACCAGTTACAGACCAGATACAACAATCTGACTGCAGAGAGATACCAGTTACAGACCAGTTACAACAATCTGACTGCAGAGAGAGACCAGTTACAGACCAGATACATCAATCTGACTGCAGAGAGATACCAGTTACCGACCAGTTACTACAATCTGACTGCAGAGAGAGACCAGTTACAGACCAGTTACAACAATCTGACTGCAGAGAGAGACCAGTTACAGACCAGTTACAACAATCTGACTGCAGAGAGAGACCAGTTACAGACCAGATACAACAATCTGACTGCAGAGAGATACCAGTTACCGACCAGTTACTACAATCTGACTGCAGAGAGAGACCAGTTACAGACCAGTTACAACAATCTGACTGCAGAGAGAGACCAGTTACAGACCAGTTGCAACAATCTGACTGCAGAGAGAGACCAGTTGCAGAGGGAGACAGACATGTTTCGGAATTTGACTTGTGGTCAGTGAGCAGCTATTTATTTACTTTCTGCACTATATATTGAATTTCTCATGAAGATCTAGTCCAGTGAATCGTGGTTTATAACATGTGTTATTATTGTTGTTGTTATTATTATTATTATTGTTATTATTATTATTAGTGGTAGTAGTAGAGTATTATTAGTATTATAATAATAATAATGTCACGCCCTGGCTCTGGGGACACTGTTATGTTGAGCCAGGGTGTGTAATTCTATGTTTGGATTTCTATGTTGGCCTGAGTGACTCCCAATCAGAGGCAACGAGTGTCAGCTGGTTGTCTCTGATTGGGAGCCATATTTAGCTGTCTGTCTTTCACTTTGTGTTTGTGGTTTCTTGTTCGGGTTGGTTTGTGTTGTAACCATAGACGTCACGTTTTTCGTTTGTTGTTTTGATCGTGTGATCATTTAATAAATATAATATGTTCACCTTCAACGCTGCGCATTGGTCCTCCTCATTAGACGATCGTGACAGAAGAAACCACCAAGATGTGACCAAGCAGCGTGTCCAGGAGCCATCGCCAGGGAGATCCCTAACAGATCTCCTTCGCCTCCTCGACTGGGTCAAGCCGAGTGAGGAAGAGAAGGGCTTGACATTATGGCAGAAGGGCGAAAGGCTGGCGAGGGACATGGAGACCTGGTCCACGGGTAGGAGAGACGCCCCGAAATTTTTTAGGGGGGGGCTAACGCCGTGGACGACGGGCCAGCAGGAGACCGCGGCAGAGCGGCCCAGCGGATTGGCAGAGGAGGCCACCAGGTTACGGGGGCCACTGGTCGAAGAGGGGGTGGAAGATGTGGAGGCACGGCGAGAGGTACTGGCGTGTGTTGCCAGTCCGGTCCGGCCTGTTCCTGATCCCCACGTAGGGCCAGTGGTGTGTGTTCCCAGTACGGTCCGGCCTGTTCCTGCCACTCGCACCAAGTCTACGGTGCGCATCGCCAGCCCAGTCCGGCCCATTCCTGCTCCCCGCACCAAGTCTGTGGTGCGTTTCGTCAGCCCTGTCCGGCCCGTTCCTGCTCACCGCACCAAGTCTGTGGTGCGCGTCGCCAGCCCAGTTCGGCCCGTTCCTGCTCTCCGCACCAAGTCTGTGGTGCGGGTCGCCAGCCCAGTCCGGCCCATTCCTGCTCCCCGCACCAAGTCTCTGGTGCGTATCGTCAGCCCTGTCCGGCCCGCTCCTGCTCCCCGCGCCAAGCCAGTGGTGTGCGTCGTCAGTCCAGCACGGCCCGTGCCTGTTCCCCACACCAGGCCAGTGGTGTGCGTCGTCGGTCCGGCACGGCCCGTGCCTGTTCCACTGGTGCCTGGTCCGGCACCGGTCAGATGCGTGACGCCGGAGCTGGAGCAATCCGCTCCATCAGTGTGCAGTCCAGCTCCGGCCAGCGGGGCCAGACCGGACCAGGGGTACTTTGGGGGGTTGGAGAGGGAGTGGGGATCAGGCCCGGAGCCGGATCCGCCGCCGAGGCGGAGTGCCCACCCGGTCCCTCCCCTGTGGTATTTAGTTGGCGCGGTCGGAGTCCGCGCCTTTAGGGGGGGGTACTGTCACGCCCTGGCTCTGGGGACACTGTTATGTTGAGCCAGGGTGTGTAATTCTATGTTTGGATTTCTATGTTGGCCTGAGTGACTCCCAATCAGAGGCAACGAGTGTCAGCTGGTTGTCTCTGATTGGGAGCCATATTTAGCTGTCTGTCTTTCACTTTGTGTTTGTGGTTTCTTGTTCGGGTTGGTTTGTGTTGTAACCATAGACGTCACGTTTTTCGTTTGTTGTTTTGATCGTGTGATCATTTAATAAATATAATATGTTCACCTTCAACGCTGCGCATTGGTCCTCCTCATTAGACGATCGTGACAAATAATAATTATTATTATTATTATTGATGTTATTTTTCATTATTATTCTTATTATTGATGTTATTATTCTTGTTATTGTTATTATTATTATTATTATTATTATTATTTATTATTATTGTGTTTTGTTGTGTTGGAAACAGAGAGTAGTGGTTGTCCTGATGGATGGACAAGGTTTTACTGCAGCTGTTACTCCTGGGAGGAGAGCAGACAGGACTATCTGATTAGAGGAGCAGACCTGGTGATCATGAAAAGCAGAGAGGAACAGGTGAGATGCTCTGTTGCAGGTCCATTTTTGGAATGTTGTTTGTTTCAGTGTCTGAATATTGTTAGTACATTGACTATATTCCAGAAAGATTAATAAAAATCACTTTCCTAATCTAATTCAATCTATTAGTGGTTGGATTAATTGCACCTGTTGTTGATATGCTTGTTGGTAAAATGGGTGTATCAGTAGACCCTACGTTTCTTTTTATGCCTGCTAAGTTATGTTAGATGTATTCGGAAAGTATTCAGACCCCATTACTTTTTCCACATTTTGTTATTTTACAGCCTTATTCTAAAATATATTAAAATGTTATATTTCCTTCATCAATCTACACACAATACCCCATAATGTTTGATAAAAAAATAAAAGTATTCAAACCCTTTACTCAGTCCTTTGTTGAAGCACCTTTGGCAGCGATTACAGCCCCAAGTCTTCTTGGGTATAACACTACAAAGCTGTATTCTGGGAGTTTCTCCCATTCTTCTCTGCAGATCCTCTCAAGTCAGGTTGGATGGGGAGCATCGATGCACAGCTATTTTCAGGTCTCTCCAGAGATGTTCCATCGGGTCCAAGTCCGGGCTCTGGCTGGGACACTCAAGGACATTCAGAGACTTGTCCCGAAGCCACTCATGCGTTGTCTTGGCTGTGTGCTTAGGGTTGTTGTCCTGTTGGAAGGTGAACCTTCGCCCCAGTCTGAGGTCCTGAGCGCCCTGGCACAGGTTTTCATCAAGGATCTCTCTGTACTTTGCTCTGTTCATCTTTCCCTCAATTCTGACTAGTCTCCCAGTCCCTGCCCCTGAAAAACATCCCCACAGCATGATGCTGCCAGGTTTCCTCCAGATGTGACACTTGGCATTCAGGCCAAAAAGTTAAATATTGGTTTCATCAGACCAGAGAATCTTGTTTCTTATGATCTGAGAGTCCATTAGATGCCTTTAAGCAAACTCCAAGCGGGCTGTCATGTGCCTTTTACTGAGGAGTGTCTTCCGTCTGGCCACTCTACCATAAAGGCCTGAATGGTAGAGTGCTGCAGAGATGGTTGTTCTTCTGGAAGGTTCTCCCATCTCCACAGAGGAACTCTGGAGCTCTGTCAGAGTGACCATCGGGTTCATGCTCACCTCCCTGACCAAAGCCCTTCTCAGTTTGGCCTGGTGGCCAGCTCTAGGAAGAGTCTTGGTGTTTCCAAACTTCCTCCATTTAAGAATGATGGAAGCCACAGCTTTCTTGGGGACCTTCATTGCTGCAGACATTTTTCGGTACCCTTCCGAATTGTACCTTGACACAATCCTGTCTCGGAGCTCTACGGACAACTCCTTCGAACTCATGGCTTGGTTTTGGATATGACTTGCGCTGTCAACTGTGGGACTTTATATAGACAGGTGTGTGCCTTTCCAAATTATGTCCAATCAATTTAATTTACCACAGGTGGACTCCAATCAAGTTGTAGAAACATCTCAAGGATGACCAATTTAAACAGGATGCACCTGAGCTCAGTTTCGATTCTCATAGCAAAGGGTCTGAATACTTACAGTACCAGCCAAAAGTCTGGAAACACCTACTCATTCAAGGGTTTTTCTTTATTTTCACTATTTTCTACATTGTAGAAAAAATAATAAAACTATGAAATAACACACATGGAATCATGTAGTAACCAAAAAAGTGTTTAAAAATTAAAATATATTTTATTTTTGAAAATCTTCAAATAGCCACCCTTTGCCTTGATGACAGCTTTGCACACTCTTGGCATTCTCTCAACCAGCTTCACCAAGAATGCTTTTCCAACAGTCTTGAAGGAGTTCCCACATATGCTGAGCACTTGTTGGCTGCTTTTCCCTCACTCTGCCGTCCGACTCATCTCAAACCATCTCAATTGGGTTGAGGTAGGGGGATTGTGGAGGCCAGGTCATCTGATGCAGCACTCCATCACTCTCCTTCTTGGTAAAATAGCATTTACACTGCCTGGAGGTGTGTTGGGTCATTGTCCTGTGGAAAAACAAACGATAGTCTCACTAAGCCCAAACCAGATGAGATGGCATATCGCTGCAGAATACTGTGGTAGCCATGCTGGTTAAGTGTGCCTTGAATTCTAAATAAATCACAGACAGTGTCACCAGCAAAGCACCGCCACACCATAACACCTCATCCTCCATGCTTTACGGTGGGAACTACACATGCGGAGATCATCCGTTCACCCACACCTCGTCTCACAAAGGACACATTTCCACCGGTCTAATGTCCATTGCCCGTGTTTCTTGGTCCAAGCAGGTCTCTTCTTATTATTGGTGTCCTTTAGTAGGGGTTTCTTTGCAGCAATTCGACCATGAAGGCCTGATTCACACAGTCCCCTCTGAACAGTTGATGTTGAGATGTGTCTGTGACTTGAACTCTATGAAGCATTTATTTGGGCTGCAATTTCTCCCGAGTGGCGCAGTGGTCTAAGGCACTGCATCGCAGTGCTAGCTGTGCCACTAGAGATCCTGGTTCGAATCCAGGCTCTGTCGTAGCCGGCCGCGACCGGGAGACCCATGGGGCGGCGCACAATTGGCCCAGCGTCATCCAGTGTAGGGGAGGGAATGGCCGGCAGGCATGTAGCTCAGTTGGTAGAGCATGGCGTTTGCAACGCCAGGGTGGTGGGTTCGATTCCCACGGGGGGCCAGCATGAAAAAATGTAATAATAAAAAATAATAATGTGTGCACTCACTAACTGTAAGTCGCTCTGGATAAGAGCGTCTGCTAAATGACTAAAATGTAAATGTGAATATAATTTCTGAGGCTGGTAACTCTAATGAACTTATCCTCTGCAGCAGAGGTAACTCTGGGTCTTCCTTTCCTGTGGCGGTCCTCATGAGAGACAGTTTCATCATAGCGCTTGATGGTTTTTGCGACTGCACTTGAAGAAACTTTCAAAGTTCTTGAAATGTTCCATATTGACTGACCTTCATGTCTTAAAGTAATGATGGACTGTCGTTTCTCTTTGCTTATTTGAGCTGTTCTTGCCATAATATGGACTTGGTCTTTTACCAAATAGGGCTATCTTCTGTATACCCCCCTACCTTGTCACAACCCAACTGATTGGCTCAAATGCATTAAGAAGGAAAGAAATTCCACAAATTAAGTTTTAACAAGGCACACCTGTTAATTTAAATGCATTCCAGGTGACTACCTCATGAAGCTGGTTGAGAGAATGCCAAGAGTGTGCAAAGCTGTCATCAAGGCAAAGGGTGGATATTTGAAGAATCTCAATTTGTTTAACACTTTTTTGGCTACTACATGATTCCATATGTGTTATTTCATAGTTTTGATGTCTTCACTATTATTCTACAATGTAAAAAATATTAAAAATAAAGAAAAACCCTTGAATGAGTAGGTGTTTCCAAACTTTTGACTGGTAGTGTATGTAAGTAAGGTATTTCTGTTTTTTGTTTTTAAAACATTTGCAAAAATGTCTAAAAACCTGTTTTTGTTTCGTCATTATGGGGTATTGTGTATAGATTGATGAGTAAAACAATTAATTTTATCAATTTTAGAATAAGGCAGTAATGTAACAAAAAGTGGGAAAAGTGAAGGTATCTGAATACTTTCTGAATGCACTGTACATGGGTAATAGCTTGTTAGAATGAGTTAAACAACATATATTAAGATGAAAAAGTAATTGCGTTTCAAATGTACGTGAAAGATAATGTATTGTGTGATTTGCTGCAAAATAAGCTTTAAATCCTCTTAGATGTAAAGTCCCCTGTTTAGGGTTCTGGTACTGGTTCCGACGGATCTTATACAAATCGATCTGTGCACACCGTAGATCGAAATATTTGCATTGAGCGATAGCCCTGGTTTTCACGGACACATCAGTATATATTTTTGGAATGTGGGATGTAAGATGTGAAATCTGACATCTCTTGAAACTTGGATGTCCCTCCTACCATTTAATTCGCTCTTCTGTCTGTCCTTCAACGCCTGGCTGAACCCTACATCACAGACACTGTCAAAGCACATTAGTGATGGGTATTCCGAGTCTTTTCAGTGAGCCGGTTCATTTGGTTCCCAAATCCAAAATTAAGCCCAAAAGGTAGGCTACCGTTATGTCAGATCGTGAAATGCGCGTTCAAATTAATAGTCTCAACCCTCGCTCACCATGGTTGCCTATGCAAGTGTTGTATCTAAAAAATGATGCTAATCTTTGCTGTGAGACCAAGGAGTCCGCTTACACTGTACTTTGATTATAAAGGTTTATTTATATCACAAGATTTCAGCGTAAGTTTACAGACATCTGCAGGCATCTGGAGACCAATGACCCAAAATAATATGTTGTTCTGTCCTCCTTTGTTTTAACCGTGGGTATTTATATCCTATGCCCTATGTAACATAATATAGGTGTTTTCCCATAAACCAATCCCAGGACTCCACCTAACAGACTTCCTCGGCTTTAGGGTGCCCCTATATAACTACTCCCCAGATGCTCCCTTAAGCTTAGTCAACATCCTCTAAAATCATTTGAAACCATTAGCAAAGTCATAAACTGTTTAAACACTACATATTTCCCCCCTTCGAGACTAATTAAGTCTCAAAAACAAAAAGAATAGTGTAGCTCCTCCAGTGACAGGCATGAGGCAAGAGGTCTTGATTTGAATACAGGGCTTTAATGCTGGTCAACCCGTGAGAACTGGTTTAAAGAAAGAAAAAATACATTAACAAAATAATGCCATATGCATGTCTCACACATCTGGCGTTATAATCAAGCTCATACAGCTAGACACTTTATGTATATTTTACACCAAAAACATGACGCACGTAAACACAAACACCCTCATAGCAAAATAAATAGTCAACAAACCTCATTGCTGCTTATCACACAGTGTCACGATCGTCGTCTACAGAGGAGGACCAAGGCGCAGCGTGGAATGCGAACATTTTATTAATTTGAATGAACACACGAACAAAACAACAAAACGAAAACGTGACGTCCCTGGTTACATACACGAACCAACACGGAACAAGAAACCACAATGAATGAATGCCTAACGGCTACCTAAGTATGACTCCCAATCAGAGACAACAAGCTACAGCTGTCTCTGATTGGGAGCCACCCTGGCCAACATAGATATACAACAACTAGAACCAACACACATGAAAACTCACACCCTGGCTCAACATACTAGAGTCCCCAGAGCCAGGGCGTGACAGTACCCCCCCCTAAAGGCGCGGACTCCGACCGCGCCAACCAAATACCACAGGGGAGGGACCGGGTGGGCACTCCGCCTTAGCGGCGGATCCGGCTCCGGGCCTGATCCCCACTCGCTCTCTAACCCCCCAAAGTACCCCTGGTCCGGTCTTGCCCTGCTGACCGGAGCTGGACTGCACACTGGTGGAGCGGATTGCTCTAGCTCCGGCGTGAAGCAGCTGACCCGTGCTGAACCAGGCACCAGTGGAACAGGCACGGGCTGTGCCGGACTGACGACGCACACCACTGGCTTGGTATGGGGAGCAGGAACGGCCCGAGCCGGGCTGACGAAACGCACCCCTGACTTGGTGCGGGGAGCAGGAGCGGGTCGAACCGGGCTGACGAAACGCACCACTGACTTGGTGCGGGGAGCAGGAACGGGCCGAGCCGGGCTGACGAAGCGCACCACTGACTTGGTGCGGGGAGCAGGAACGGGCCGAGCCGGGCTGACGAAGCGCACTACTGACTTGGTGCGGGGAGCAGGAGCGGGCCGAGCCGGGCTGACGAAGCGCACCACTGACTTGGTGCGGGGAGCAGGAACGGGCCGAGCCGGGCTGACGAAGTGCACCACTGACTTGGTGCGGGGAGCAGGAACGGGCCGAGCCGGGCTGACGAAGCGCACCATTGGCCTGGTGCGGGGAGCAGGAACAGGCCGGACCGTACTGGGGACACACACCACTGGTCCTACGCAGGGATCTGGAATGGGCCGGACCGGACTGGTAACACACCCCAGTACCTCTCGCCGTGCCTCTACACCTTCCATCCCCTCTTCGACCAGTGGCCCCCGTAACCTGGCGGCCTCCTCTGCCAACCCGCTGGGCCGCTCTGCCGCGGTCTCCTGCTGGCCCGTCGTCCACGGCGTTAGCCCCCCCCTAAAAAATTTCTGGGCGTCTCTCCTACCCGTGGACCAGGTCTCCATGTCCCTCGCCAGCCTTTCGCCCTTCTGCTTCCATGTCAAGCCCTTCTCTTCCTCACCCGGCTTGACCCAGTCGAGGAGGCGAAGGAGATCTGCTAGAGATCTCCCTGGCGATGGCTCCTGGACACGCTGCTTGGTCCAGTCTTGGTGGTTTCTTCTGTCACGCTCGTCGGGAACAGAGGAGGACCAAGGCGCAGCGTGGAATGCGAACATTTTATTAATTTGAATGAACACACGAACAAAACAACAAAACGAAAACGTGACGTCCCTGGTTACATACACGAACCAACACGGAACAAGAAACCACAATGAATGAATGCCTAACGGCTACCTAAGTATGACTCCCAATCAGAGACAACGAGCTACAGCCGTCTCTGATTGGGAGCCACCCTGGCCAACATAGATATACAACAACTAGAACCAACACACATGAAAACTCACACCCTGGCTCAACATACTAGAGTCCCCAGAGCCAGGGCGTGACATAGCGCCATCAATAAAATAGGGATATTGGCCAAATGAGCAACATTTACATGTCCATGTCCTTAAAAACAGCCTTTAACAAATTACAAAAACACTATTCCTTGTGTTTCGATGTGTAGCATATACAAAACTTTATAGCCTATTTTTTATTGGTTTTTACTTTCATAAAACAATAATTGTCCACCTCACGGTTGAGCTGTCAGAGATTGAGCACTAAATGCATTAGGGCATTGCATGCATAGGCCACTGTATGATATTAATATTTTAAAATATACAGTATATATATAAAGGAAGAGAAGCTTAGGCCTAGCCCCAGAGAGATAGAGAGAGAAATAGAGATATGCCGGCAGCATGCTATGACACCGACATGCATTTCTTTATGTCAGATGGCTACTGCATCTGCTATACAGATAGAGGCATACAGAAGGAGGCTAATTCGTTAATTTTCTATACGAATATTTTGTATAAAGATAAGCATTATATTGTTAGATTATAGGAGTAACTCTGGTAGGCCTGAAACATTCTTCCTCACCTCAAGTTTAACTGTTAGAGTCAGTTGGAGCGCCGGGGCACACTGCCTTAATATCATAGGCCTGCAGTAGCTAAAGGTTAATAATAGCCACACCATACTAAACCTTCACAAATGTTTCTAAACTTTATTAGAGTAATATCAAAAGTAAGGCCAAACATTTCTCAAAATGAATTCAAAGGCACTGTAGACTAAGCCTAATAAGGCATTGTTCATTTAATTTGTATTTAATTCTAAGTAAGTCACATCCTATATGCTCAATGTATAGACTATAATGATTTAATACAACAAAATGTTGTTTAAATGCTGAGCGTTTTATGTCCCTACCAGCCTAGTGTCACACTCGCAAATGCATCGCAATGTATTTTTTTGTAGGCTAAAGCCTTAATATATATAATAGCCTAATATAGCCTATAATATAGCCTAAATAATTGATTTTTGTTCCTTCTTAGGCTCCCTGTCTGGCTGCTGACCTATTTAGAGTTTATATATGCTGTTTAATGACATGTAAGCTATTTGAAATGATGAACGCTTCTTACCTAACCAATTCATGTTTATTTTCATTCAAATCGTATGGTTAGGTTTCAATACTTCAAAAGCAAATGGTAGGTCCAGGTAGTCAGAACAATAGATGGGTGTTAGTTAAATTCTGATTTTAATGAATGGAGCAAATTCAGAGCTGCAGTTTTTTTTCCTGTGAGCGCAGAGTGGTTTCTTAGCAGAGCGGTAAGAATGTGAAGCACCTCTCCATGATTGATGAGCGGGATTTCCGACAGCTCAACTCCACTCACATACTCTGGTTGAGAGCTATTCAAAATCATGAACAACAGCAACAAATAAAACATAGCCAGCTAAAATGTTGTAAAACACAAAACACTTGTTATCCATACCTGAAAGTTTCTCCTCCTGTGTCTAACATTTAGTCTCAGAAATCCTAGCCCAAGATGTCAAGGGAAGCCAGTTTGGATTTGGCTTCAGACCAATCACATCACATCAGAAGCCAAACATCATTAATATAAAAAAAACTATAATTTTTGCATCTAGTGTCATTGTCCTCCGGTGATTAGCTAGCGAGCTAAAATCGGCCCTTTCCTAAATTAGCCATTGATGGCGGTAGGGATTTGGACTTGTGGTTTTACTTCTCTGTACTGGCCAATGATTATAATGGTGATTCTGATCCGAGCATAAATTAATACATTGTGCCCCTGGCCTGAGAGAATGGAAGTTCAACATGTAACTAGATGTATGTAGTAGGCTAATGTTAACTAGCTGGCCTGGTGCATCGTTGCCCATGAAAGGAAGTTAGGCTAGCGAGCAAGCATTTTAGCCAGGTAGCGTAGAACAACAAAAGCTAAAAGCGTGTACTGTATGACAGAGTCATAGACCGTTTAGGCAACATGAAAGAGGAGGATGGTATTGGTGTTTCTCTACAAGTAGGGCAAGTCAACATGGTTTTTCTACTTGCATGCACACATACACCAAACACAAACTGAAATCAGTACCATGGACAGCCACATCATATTTAGCTTACGTTGATTGGAATAAATAGTTTTGGGTATATTTTAGTTGTCACTGTATTAGACTAAGCATAGGTGATTTGATGATGTTGAAATGGTGATGGAATAGTGGAGGCAGCTCCTGTTTTCTTTGCGACTTGCGGTAACTCTCTGTGGTTCTAAATCAATAGTTGTTTAGTAGTCCGAAAATGTTGGAAACATTACCTTGCTTGACCATGCTGTAGGTCATGTAACAGTTTGTTACATGCAATATGTTTTGTGGACTTCACCAGAGAGATACAGGACTATTAAAGGCCCAATGCACTGCTTTTGTGAAAAAATATTTTTTGCAAAATATATGTATATATATTTTTTCTTTATTATGATTTTTCAGGGGGTGCTGCAGTACCCTCAGCACCCGTACTTCCTGCTGCTATGGGTCAATGGATACCTGCCGATTGATGCTGGTGAGCATGTAGTGTCTTTTTTTTGGCGCACAAATACACCAGATTATAATATATTGTTATTTTTGTACAGTTTTTAGAATAGGTTTCACTTAATGAGTTACCAGTTAAACTTTTCCTGTAGTCGCTGTGTTCCGTTGTTTTTGTACTGTAATTATGTTGTATTGCCAACAGATGGCGCTAATAGCACAGTATATAATCTATGACCACCTGCCGGCCTTACTGGAAAGAACCAGAGGACCAAAGCCTCACAAGAGCAAAACTCTAGATAGGGCCATTGGGTCATTCATTATGCAAATATGGTATGAGTACCAAGATGCAAATACATTTCCATCATAGATAGACAGCATGTCACCTTTACACTATAGTTGACTTCTAGAGCATCGGGATACACCAGTTCCCCTCTTCTTCAACATTCACTTATCTTCTGTTTAGGTGAGTAACCTTCTCCCTATGAACACTCTGAGGGGAGTGCCAATGTGTGAAAGAACAGCACAGTCTGTAACAGACTCAGATCAAAACCTCAGATTAGATTAGATCAGGCTGGGGTACAAAGACGCCAGTGTGAGGCAGTGTATGGGTTTTTGCATGTGTTTCAGCCAGGAAGTTCATGTCAGGGAGAAGTGGCTCCTCTACCCCACACACTCACTTTGATCTGGAGATGAGTCATACATATGACTGACAGCAGGATGGCCATGAGACAACCCCTCCCAACCCAGAGAGAGACAATCTCTATTACATACACTCCAGGTAGATGCAGTGGTGTGTATTCATTGATGCCAAGGGAAGCCAGGCTTCCACAAAAAATGGACTAAGAAAAAAACACAAAATAATGTTTATTTTGTCTCTCTGTGTTTCATAAATGTCCTTCAATTCGCAAGAGGCTGAATGTATCTCACCGGAGAAAGCATCCGAGCGAATGAAACAGCACACCTCTGTCTCAGTATGTGTAGCGTATCAATCTGATACTGTCTGGTCAAAAAAGTATGAAATTGTTGCCGCCCGTAGCATTGAATGCAAGGGAACCCAGCGAGCATTTGGCCTCCCTTGATAAAAAATTTAAAGAATAATAGCCATCAGTGTTGAGCTAAACTGAGCGAGCTCAGCTGTGAAAGGTCCTGGTGCACCAAAAGAAAGTGTCAAGGGAAGCCAGTTCGGATTTGGCTTCAGACCAATCACATCAGAAGCCAAATGTCATTGACAGAAAATAATTTTTGCATCTCGTGTCATTGTCCTCCGGTGACTAGCTAGCGAGCTAAAATCGGCCCTTTCCTAAATTAGCCATTGATGGCGGTAGGGATTTGGACTTGTGGTTTTACTTCTCTGTACTGGCCAATGATTATAATGGCGATTCTGATCCAACCATAAATTAATACATTGTGCCCGTGGCCTGAGAGAATGGAAGTTCAACATGTAACTAGATGTATGTAGTATGCTAATGTTAACTAGCTGGCCTGGTGCATCGTTGCCCATGAAAGGAAGTTAGGCTAGCGAGCAGGCATTTTAGCCAGGTAGCCTAGAACAACAAAAGCTAAAAGCGTGTACTGTATGACAGAGTCATAGACCGTTTAGGCAACATGAAAGAGGAGGATGGTATTGGTGTTTCTCTACAAGTAGGGTGAGTCAACGTTTTTTCTACTTGCACGCACGCACACACAGAAATCAGTACCATGGACAGCCACATCATATTTAGCTTACGTTGATTGGAATAAATAGTTTTGGGTAACTTTTAGTTGTCACTGTATTAGACTAAGCATAGGTGATTAGATTATGTTGAAATGTTGCAGTTGAAATGGTGATGGAATAGTGGAGGCAGCTCCTGTTTTCTTTGCGACTTGCGGTAACTCTCTGTGGTTCTAAATCAATAGTTGTTTAGTAGTCCGAAAATGTCGGAAACCTTACCTTGCTTGACCATGCTGTAGGTCATGTAACTGTTTGTTACATGCAATATGTTTTGTGGACTTTTGTGATGAAACAAAGGAGTGGTTGAATTTATTCTGCCACTGTGTCTTCTTATTGTCTCGGCCTTTAGGCTTACATATCACAGTGTCAAGGTATATGAACTAACAGGTTATACAGCAAACAACGCAATTATCACAACACATTGGTTTAATACGAAAAATGTTTTTTTCTTGGCTTGACTTCCCCAGTGATTTTATCCACTCAACGCTACTGGGTAGAGGGAGCCTATGGGCCTGTATTTATAAAGCGTCTCAGCGTTGGAGTGCTGATCTAGGATCAGGTCCCCCCACTGTCCATATAATCATATTAATTATCTAAAAGGCTAAACTGATCCTATATCAGCAATCTTACTCTTGAGACTGTCTGGGCTGTGAGCACAGATCTAGGATAAGACTTAACATACCCTGTTTCTAATAGTACCCATTAGTGGGTACATGTCAAACTGACCTTAGATCAGGACGTGGGCATATTATCTGACTACTTATGTCACCCAGTTAATCAGCATCTTTCTCTTTTGAAACATTGTGTCAGTGTGCAGTGTTGAGTGTAACCCAAGCATGACCCTTGATAAGGGCCCAATCTGCTACATTGTGCCTCCATGCTCTGTGTAGGAACTCTCTCTGTTGTGCTACAGTGGTGAAATAGTTAGAGGAGTAACCAGAGATACAGGGCCAGTTTCCCGAATGAAGTCTTGGACTAAAAAAGCATTCTCAATGGAGAATCTACATTGAAAGCGTTTAGAATTTAATGACTAGGCTTAATCTGTGTCTGGGGTACTGGCCCATAATGTTCTAATTTCTATGCGTAGAACTTCCTCCAAAAAAACATTTGATTGTTCTAATCTGAAACATACAGTACCCGCGACAACAGGAAGTAACCAAGGTCACAACAGTAGCTTTTTCATAGTGATTGTTTTATTATTCTGTCTATCTACGATCAAAGGAAATCAAATGCTGTGACAGACATCAGGGGTGATCATCATCCTCCCGTTTGAAAAATTAAATGTTTTTTTTCTTCTCCAAATACACACACACACATCGTGAAATGACATCGTAAAGCAACCATGTCAGATAGCTATACATACAAAGACTTTCCAGCATAATGTAAACAATCACATCATCTTAGGTGTCAACCACTGTCTGATACCACTCTGGAATAATACGAGTCAGACGGCTGCAATTGAGTGGACGAGGAAATAAACCATAGAATGATACCTGTAGACTGGTTAAACCAGACTGGAGACTATTGTCACTGAAGTGAATCAATAGTGAGTGCTGAGTGCAGCGTTACGTATTATTTAACTAGGCTTAATGAATGGTTCACTTGCTGGCGACCTTCGCACTGTAATGAATGACTGACTGACCGAGGAGAGAGTAAATATTGACAATGGGAGAGTGCAAGGCTGTCCAGGAACCTAGAGACAGCGTAATTAGACATCAAAATTTTGGACTGGGTCCTATTTATCAGCCCCTTGAGAGCAGCTAAATCTACAGTCTGGTAGAAGACTGAATGCAGCGTTCAATCTGGTTTAACCAGGCAAAGAGTCAACCAGTAGGGTACCAGTCTCAACTCTAAACCTGTAGAAACATTGACCTCTGCAATCACATAAAGTCAAGGGCCAGGAATTTTTCTTGAACACGTGACATGACTAGGAAATACTCCAGATCAGATGGTCAGGTGGGCAGGAAAATTTCAGGGTCATACATGTCATATGATTGGCTGAGAATTCAGACACACCTGAAGTATATACACAAGTCTCGTACAGACAATACATACACACGTCACATTTTCGTGCTTTTTTTGACATAGTGTGACATACTGAACTTTGAATGGGGGGGGGGGGCTTTGCAACAACAGCAAGATGACACATAGCAGGCTACAGTTCATAGCGGATCCACATAAGCAAGGTCTCCCCTGCCCTTGCATTCTCAAACACCTGCAAGTCAATCGGAGTATCAGTTCATTGGATTGGCTCATTGCAGTTCATTGCAGGCTAGAAATAACATTGAAAAACTTGCATGGTCCACTCCCTGCATATTCCCTTCAGACCTGCCTCTTCGTGTATTTCAACCATTTCACTTCAAAAGACTAAAATGTAAGAAACCAAAAGCATAAGTGTAGATGGGGAATAACAAGCAGAGTGAAGGAGAGATAAGATGGAATTTCTTGCATTTGAGGTCCTCTTCAAGATTCTCAAAAGGTCCAAAGTAGAGAGTTGTGGACACAGAGTTCAATAGAGGTCAATGACCCACCCGTTGCGCTTGTCGTCCTGATGTAGAGTCAGCATCGTTGGTCCTTTAATCTCTTTATCAAGATGGAGGATTCCATTCTGCCTCCGTCACAAGCAGACACTGACTGAAGGATAAATAGTTAAGATGTTGCCCAGATCAAGCACTTATATTGGTCTTCATGACAATTCATGTCCCCTCTTTCAGGAAATGCTAAAACTATATTTTCTGTGACTTCTTTTCACCCGCTGTCACAAATGTCCCCCTTTCGACACAAACAAATCGACAGAGAATGTCATTGCATCTAATGTCATAGAATTCCAAAAGCCCTTTTGATACGTTCCATAATCAGAGATACAGACTGGGGATTCCATAAGGTAGCCCCTAACCAATGGCAGGCATGTGTGGAAAATGGAGACATTTCATTGGTCCCCATATCTCTGCGATCTGCCGCTTAAAACCGCTCATTGGTCAACCTGGAGAGACAGAAAACACTAGAGATGGAAAAGGCACAATCCAACTTCAACAGACGCAGGGTGAAATCAGTGAGTGTAGCGCTCTCATCTGTACACTATTCAATCCCTTCTTTCATAGAACTGATGATTATAAGGATACTGCCGTTTCACTAGCAATCTCCATACAGAACCCTTACAAGATGATTTAGCTAAGTTTAGGTCATATTGAATCAGCCCCATCATCAGTTAAGTCTATTGTTTGCGGGTGGACATAAAACTCTATACCATTGTCTCTGATTTTATTGAGAAAGATGGCTACATTTAAGAATGCAGAAAGCCCCTAAATGTCTAAACGGGTTAAAAAGAAATGACAATTTGTTCCAGCTGATAGCCGAGCTTCCGCTTTCACACCAGAACAAAGTAGAAATCCGGACATTTTCCAAATTAGATTTCCACCTTAAATATGGTTGAAATATTATTCCTGTCTTGAGCGTATTGAATAACTCCCGATCACATGAAAACCATTTAGCTTCTTGTCTCAGAGCCTCTGTGCATGATCTGGGTCATATTCATTAGTGCACAGTTTCAAAACGTAGCAAAACGTTTTGCTACAGAAAACAAAAAACAAGTGTTTCTTATTCAGTTCAGGTAGTTCCTCCCTGTTTCGGTCTGTTTCCTTCCATTTGGTACCAAATGAATGTGACAATATTTAGGCCTACAAATAGAGAAGAAATCAAGTAAATGAATGAAAAAAACACACACTAAAACAGGCTCAAACTACAAATATTTATAGATATACATACACATCGAAAACAATAGAATTTCTCTCCAGTCCATGGTCCTTCTCTGAGAGCCCAAAGCTGGGTTGATATCAATAACACACTAGACTAGAGTCTTTGGTCTCTGACATCTTTTTCATTGTCTTTGTCTAATAGACTGAAACATAGGGTGGTGATGTCATGCATAAAAGAAAGAAAACAAAGAACGTATAGGCAGGGAGGCTGTTGCCGGAGTCTAGCTATATCCCTTGTGTTCCTTTGCAATGCTTCTCTGTTCCGTGCGTCTCCCTCATTGCATCAAAGAATCCACAGAGTCAACTGTAGAGTCTAAGAAATGAAATCTGCCCCTCTCTCTCTCTCTCTCTCTCTGTGTCTTTGCAGGGTTTATGCTCCTCTTCCCATTCCTCCATTCCTCATTTAGGTCTGTGTTTCTGAAGAGTCCCTCAGAAAGTCCTGAGGGGGTGTAAATGGGCCAATGGGGGACCATGTCATTATTCACTTAGCCAATCAAATGTTTTGGTTGACAGGCGTGACGTAATCACATGTTTTGGTTGACGGGCGTGACGTAGTTGCGCGGGAACATGCCCGTCTGGCCGTGGCACGCCCCTTTCCACCAGTTGGGGTCGGAGTTGTCCAGGACCTGGATGAAGTCGCCGCGTCGGAAGCCCAGCTCGCCATCCTCCTGAGGGTCGAAGTCGAACAGCGCCTGCACATACGTTGAATGCTGGAGAGACAAGAGAGGAGAAACACATTGGTTAGAATATGTGGCGTGTGTAGTCGGGCAGGTCACTTAGAAATGTCCTTGTTTTCCATGAAAACATACATGAAATGAGTTGGAATAGGAAATATATCAAATGCAGTCATTGACAAGGTTAGAAATAGTGATTTTTAATTGAAATAATAATTGTGTTCTTCAAACTTTGCTTTCGTCAAATAATCTTCCATTTGCAGCAATTACAGCCTTGCAGACCTTTGGCATTCTAGTTGTCAATTTGTTGAGGTAATCTGAAGAGATTTCACCCCATGCTTCCTGAAGCACCTCCCACAAGTTGGATTGGCTTGATGGGCACTTCTTACGTACCATACGGTCAAGCTGCTCCCACAACAGCTGAATAGGGTTGAGATCCGGTGACAGTGCTGGCCACTCCATTATAGACAGAATCCCAGCTGACTGCTTCTTCCCTAAATAGTTCTTGCATAGTTTGGAGCTGTGCTTTGGGTCATTGTCCTGTTGTAGGAGGAAATTGGCTCCAATCAAGTGCCGTCCACAGGGTATGGCATGGCATTGCAAAATTGACTGATACCCTTCCACTTCTACCCTGTACAAATCACCCACTTTACCACCACCAAAGCACCCCCAGACCATCACATTGCCTCCACCATGCTTGACAGATGGCATCAAGCACTCCTCCAGCATCTTTTCATTTGGTCTGCGTCTCAAAAATGTTCTTCTTTGTGATTCCGAACACCTCAAACCTCGATTAGTCTGTCCATAACACTTTTTTCCAGTCTTCATCTGTCCAGTGTCTGTGTTCTTTTGCCCATCTTAATCTTTTCTTTTTATTGGCCAGTCTGAGATATGGCTTTTTCTTTGCAACTCTGCCTAGAAGGTCAGCATCCCGGAGTCGCCTCTTCACTGTTGACGTTGAGACTGGTGTTTTGCGGGTACTATTTAATGAAGCTGCCAGTTGAGGACCTGTGAGGCGTCTGTTTCTCAAACTAGACACTCTCAATGTATTTGTCCTCTTGCTCAGTTGTGCACCGGGGCCTCCCACTCCTCTTTCTATTCTGGTTAGAGCCAGTTTGCGCTGTTCACTGAAGGGAGTAGTACACAGCGTTGTACGAGATCTTCAGTTTCTTGGCAATTTCTCGCATAGAATAGCCTTCATTTCTCAGAACAACAATAGACTGACGAGTTACAGAAGAAAGTTATTTGTTTCTGGACATTTTGAGCCTGTAATCGAACCCACAATTGCTGATGCTCCAGATACTCAACTAGTCTCAAGAAGGCCAGTTTTATTGCTTATTTAATCAGCACAACAGTTTTCAGCTGTGCTAACATAATTGCAAAAGGGTTTTCAATTAGCCTTTTAAAATGATAAACTTGGATTAGCAAACACAACGTGCCATTGGAACACAGGACTGATGGTTGCTGATAATGGGCCTCTGTACGCCTATGTAGATATTCCATTAAAAATCAGCCGTTTCCAGCTACAATAGCCATTTACAACATTAACAATGTCTACACTGTATTTCTGATCAATTTGATGTTATTTTAATGGCCAAAAAAATAGCTTTTCTTTCAAAAACAAGGACATTTCTAAGTGAACAGTAGTGTATTTGTCTGCAAAATTGCTTAGTGAACTGTCGTTGACTGATAATCGGCTAAGCTGTGTTTTTGCATGATTGCTTAGATGAGATTACGTGATGCAATCTCATTAAATGATTGTCGGAGATGAGGATTTCCCTGGTATTCCGTATGATGTGCAGCGCTGTGTATACATACAGTGCCTTCAGAACAAGTAATCACACCCCTCAACTTTTTCCACATTTTGTTGTGTTACAGCCTGAATTTTAAATTGATTAAATTGATATGTTTTCTTTGTCCTTGGCCTACACACAGACACAATACTCCATAATGTCAAAGTGGAATTATGTTTTCGAAATTTTAACAAATTCATTAAATAAATGAAAAGCTGAAATGTCTTGAGTGAATAAGTATTCAACCCCTTTGTTATGGCAAGCCTAAATAAGTTCCGGAGTACAAATGTGCTTAAGAAGTCACATAATAAGTTGAATGTACTCACTCTGGGTGCAATAATAGTTTTTTTTTTTATGACTACCTCATCTCTGTACCCCACACATACAGATAATTGTAAGGTCCCTGAGTCGAGTGGTGAATTTCAAACAGATTCAACCACAGAGACCAGGGAGGTTTTCCAATGCCTCGCAAAGGGTATCTATTGGTAGATGGGTAGAAAATTAAATAAAAGCAGACATTGAATATCCCTTTGAGCACGGTGAAGTTTTTTTATTACACTTTGGATGGTGTACCAGTCACTACAAAGATACAGGCATCCTTCCGAACTCAGTTGCCGGAGAGGAAGGAAACCGCTCAGGAATTTCACCATGAGGCCAATGGTGACTTTAAAACAGTTAGACTTTAATGGTTCTGATAGCAGAAAACTGAGGATGGATCAACAACATTGTAGTTACTCCACAATACTAACCTAATTGACAGAGTGAAAAGAAGGAAGCCTGTATAGATTTTAAAAAATTCCAAAACATGTATCCTGTTTGCAACAAGGTACTAAATACTGCAAAGAAAAGGTGGCAAAGAAATTAACTTTTTGTCCTGAATACAAAGTGTTATGTTTCGGGCATATCCAATACAACACATTACTGAGTACCACTCTCCATATTTTCAAGCATAGTGGTGGCTGCGTCATGTTATGGATATGCTTGTTATCGTTAAGGACTGGGGAGTTTTTCAGGATAAAAAAATTAACTCAATGGAGCTAAGAACAGGCAAAATATTAGAGATAAACCTGGTTCAGTCTGCTTTCCACCAGACACTGGGAGAGGAATTCACCTTTCAGCAAAAAAAACTGAACAAATATACACTAGTTGCTTACCAAGAAGACAGTGAATGTTCCTGAGTGGCCGAGTTACAGTTGACTTAAATCTACTTGGAAAATCTATGGCAAGACCTGAAAATGGTTGTCTAGCAATGATCAACCACCAATTTGACAGAGCTTGAAGGATTTTGAAAAGAATAATGGGTAAATGTTGCACAGTCCAGGTGTGGAAAGCTCTTAGAGACTTACCCAGAAAGACTCACAGCTGTAATCGTTCCCAAAAGGTGATTCTACAAAGTATTGACTCAGGGGTGTGAATACGTACAATACCAGTCAAAAGTTTGGACACACCTACTCATTCAAAGGTTTTTCTTTTCAAGAGTGTGCAAAGCTGTCATCAAGGCAAAGGGTGGCTATTTTAAGAATCTCAAATATAAAATATATTTTGATTTGTTTAACACTTTTTTCGTTACTACATGATTCCATATGTGTTATTTCATGGTTTTGATGTCTTCACTGTTATTCTACAATGTAAAAATTGTACAAAATAAAGAAAAACCCTTGAATGAGTAAGTGTCCAACCTTTTGACTGGTACTGTATTTAAATGAGATATTTCTGTATTTCATTTTGAATACATTTGCAAACATTTCTAAAAACATGTTTTCGTTTTGTCATTATGGGGTATTGTGTGTAGATGGGTGAGGAAAAAAATAAATGTAATACATTTTTAATTCAGGCTGTAACGCAACAAAATGTGGAATAAGTCAATGGGTGTGAATACTTTCTGAAGGCACTGTACATGTATTTGTGTGTGTGCGTGTGTGTCCCTATGTGTGTGTGTCCGTCTGTGTGTGTGTGTCCCTCTGTGTGTGTGTCCCCTGTGTGTGTGTCCCTCTGTGTCCCCCTGTGTGTGTGTCCCTCTGTGTGTGTGTCCCTCTGTGTGTGTGTGTGTCCCTCTGTGTGTGTGTGTGTCCCTCTGTGTTTGTGCGTGTCCCTCTGTGTCCCTGGGTGTGTGTCCCTGGGTGTGTGTCCCTGTGTGTCCCTGTGTGTGTGTGTGTGTTCCTGTGTGTGTGTGTGTGTTTGTCCCTGTGTGTGTGTGTGTCCCTGTGTGTGTGTCCCTCCCTGTGTGTGTGTCCCTCCCTCCTCACCTGTGGGACCTGCTCGATGTCTCTGAGGAAGATGGGCTGGTTGCGTGACACAGAGGTGGAACGGTGGTAGTCCACCAGGGAGTTGAGAGAGTTGAACTTGACCACCCACAGGAAGTACTTCCCAGCCCCGTCACGCAGGACCTTGAAGTGCTGCACGTCATTACCAAACCTGGGGAGAAGAAGCATAGATCTATAAGTGATTGGTTCACTTTAAACAAGGTGACCACCCTACTACTTCTATCAATCCAACCATTCCAGATCTGTGATTACCAAACCTGTGGCGGAGGAGGAGGAAGAGGAGGAGGAGGAGGAGGAGGAGGAAAAGAAGAAGAAGAAGAGGGAGAGAAGGATAGAATAAACAGAAAGTGAGTGATGACATTTACCATGGTAACCATCTGGGGACAGCAGTGAAAACACTGTTAAATCTACATGACGTGGAAGAGAAGGCGGCCTGTTTTTTGTGTGCACTAGTTTCATAACCATCTGTGTCAGCGCTTCCATTAATGATTTAAGCCCAGTTGGCCCAGTTTCTTTCTCCCCGCATGATAACATGAGTTTGGGATTTTTAAGAGAAATACAACGCAGAAGACACACTTGTATAGCCTACTTCATTAGATTGCATTACAAATGCATTAGACAGGGATGGTTGTTTGGTACACAGCTGTGACACTAGGACAACGCAATTGTAGCAGTAGCGACACACACAGACACACACACACACACACACACACAGAGAGAGAGACAGAGAGCCTGGGACTAGGGAAAGTGGCAGCTTGCAAAGCTTTGATAACAGGCAGCAGTGCCCACACCGGAGCTATCTGACAGAGACCAAAGTGCTGTAGTAGCGGATGACTGTTGGTTAGCCCCAGGTGAGTCAGAGATGACACAGCCAATTAACTTGATATGGATCTGTGGATCTGCACAGCGACTTTCCATAAAGACTAGAGTGGGAACAGGGTGGCCAGACACTGCTAGACTTAGAACAGTCAGTACTTCCCAGGTCAAGCTGGCTAGACGCCACCCTGGCAAACCAAGATGGGAGCTGTGCATGAGAAAGCAAGCACTTAGCACAGAGTTGGAACAATGATTTAAACAGAGGACTGATATTGGAGAGAAATGTATGTAATAAAAAGGGAAAACGGATATGATGGGTCGATCAGTGATACAATGATTGAACTGAGTGTGTGCGTGTGACATACTTGACAGAGAGTGAGAAGTCTCCCGGTGCGCTCTCTGACTCTCGGATGAGGAAGGCCCCATCGTGCCTCTGTTTGTTCAGCATCTCCTCTGCCTTCGCCCGGGGGATCTTACCATAGAACCACCTGGGACACAACAACAACAACAAATCATTACAAACCACTAATAACTCATTCAAAATAATATAAAAACAAGTTGCAAGTAACAGTGATAAGTGCTGTTTAACTGCAAATTAAGAAGAAAATACACCCTGCGGGCAAAACTGGTTGAAATAAGGTTATTACATGGTTGTCATTTGATTGTAATGACATTGTTTCAACCAGCTCTACCACACTGGGTGTTTTTTCTTCTTCTTAATTTGTAGGAAAAGCAGCACTTACCAGAATTTGATTGTGGTGTGGTTGTGACAGGTCTCTAGTTAGCATTGACCTTTGAGTAACCTCAAAGCGTAGGGTCATTGGTATGACTCAATGTCATAGGAACATGGCCTTAAGCAGAGCTTGACCTCAAACCTGACCCCTGTTATTGACCGTTGTAGTGGTTGTTGTGTCTGTTGGGGAAGTGCATAGCGACCAATAACACTACTAAACAATTATATCAAAATCATAATATCACATCTATTTTGCATGCCAAATAGAATGAAATCAATGCAGTAAGTGAGTACCGGTGGGCCATTTAATTAGTCTCTTTGCATTTGTCCTAGTAGGTTGTAATTACAGGGAGGTTCCTGGTCTGATAAAAGAGCTGGTGGAGCCTTGGGTCAAGACAATGACAACTCTGTGTGGTGCCATGCCAACCGCACCTGCTACCTACTCCTCTGGCTCTGACTGGTGCCCAATACCAGCGGTCAGTCACCAACCCCCACAGATACTCCATACAGAGTGTGTGTGTGTGTGTGTGTGTGTGTGTGTGTGTTTGCGCACGCGTGTACATTGTGTGGTGGTGTATGGGACCTCCCTTTCCTTCTGTGACTAGTCAGGTGTGGAATTTTACTGTCCAGATAAAGGTGTTATGTCACAATGTGCCAACAAAGGTGTTGTAACACACAATGTTTGCCTCCTCTATCTCCAGTGAAAGCATACACACGCTGAGCTTTATCTATATAGCTTAATTTAGCAATATAGCTTAGCATTACCATATACTGTAGCTTATCTGAGCGATAGCATACCCTTGACTTACGCTTTGAACACACTGACTGCGTCATTGCGCAAAATAGTATGCAGCATCATCTAGATATGTGTGCAACAAAACTTCAACATTCACCTTCTGCTACCATTTCTGTCAACCCGTTTATGCATACAGTTTGGCGCATACGTTCGATAAATCCAACGTATGCACAACACAGAACGCACTGCAACTGCCTCTGCAACACAATGCTGCAAGGCAAACGCAGCGTTCCATTGGAAATGAATGTACTAGTGGTGTACCAAAACGCAATGACGCAGTCGGTGTGTTCAAAGCATTAGGCAATAGCCATAGCATTTGCACTAGGGCATGGCAGTGCAGGTGAACGCTAGCTCTAAGCCTCTTAGCTTGTTCGTTTGGGAACTCAGACAACATGACAAGACCTGATCAACTCCAGCTGTTCCTCATAAGGGAATGATAATTCAGCCAGGTCTCCCATCCAGTATCACCATCGGGGCAGAGTCCTCAAACAGTGTCACAAGCCGATAGTCATATAAAGATGGCAGATATGAGTAGAACAAGTTATCCGTTTATTACATGTGTATACACATATTGACCTGTTAGGTAACACTAGCATCTCTAAGCCATCGGTTTCAGACCCATATAGGTTTCAACCCACAAGCCTTCAGCATTTAGCAATGCTATTCTTTGTGCCTGGTGTTCACACACAAACAGGCTTAGGGATGACAGAAGTCCAACCCCCTCATCCACAGTGCTCTGATCTCCCTGAGGTAACACCCTGAGGTAACAGTAACACTGTGGGTAGAGAGATAATGTGGATATCCTCCTATTATCCTGGTCCTTCCTGCTTTGTGGTCGAGTGCTGCTCTTTGATGTGGTAGCACTGACATCCACGGCTACCAGGCTTCCATAAGGGAGTCAAAGCCCTTTCCACAACATCGAGCCGAACCAAACCATACTGTGCTGACTTGGATATCTTCTCCTCACATGATCCTTTCCAGCATGATAACAGCAACCATGGTGGATGTAACCAGGCCAAGGCCAGCCCCATAGTGAAGTGAGTACTGTTTTTTTCCTATCCAGCGCCACCATCTGCCTGCTTGTTATCCTGGACCCTCCTCCACCATCTGCTCCTATATAGAGCAGGTGATTCCCTCCCTCCTGTATTTAGGCCCAGCTGACCAATCAGTCATAGGAACCTTAAGGCTAATGGACAGTCTCTTCCTGACTGCTATAATAGGGCCCTCTGTCTCTGATTGGTTGCAGTGTGTAATGGGCCTTTCACGTGAGAGCCCTCGCAGCCCTGAGAGCAGGTGGCGATGGTGGGGAAGGCGTTCTCACACAGCTGACACTATACAGGACAAAGCCCCTCTTTGCTACTGTGTGCGTCTGTAGAATATAAAGTACAATCCATCTCTATTTAGTGGCTCCCTCAGAATAGGATCCATTTAGTAACCTTTAAGAACAGTTTATGTAGAAAGAGCTTCTGTAGGACAGTTACAGTACAATCCATCTCCTATCTGACAGTTACACAAAAGCCCCGTGGCTCTTTACAAAATATAGCATGTTACAAACGGTGCCCCATATTGATACAATAGGGCCTACAGTGCATTTGGAAAGTATTCAGACCCCTTCACTTTATCCACATTTTGTTATGTTACAGCCTTATTCAAAAATGTATTAAAATTATTTTTTTCCCCTCATCAATCTACACACTTCCCCATAACGACAAAACGAAAACAGGTTTTAAGACATTTTTGCAAATGTATTAAAGGCACATGACAGCCCGCTTGGAGTTTGCCAAAAGGCACCAAAGACTCTCAGACCATGATAAATAATATTTTCTGGTCTGATGAAACCAAGATTGAACTCTTTGGCCTGAATGCCAAGCGTCACATCTGCAGGAAACATGGCACCATCCCTACGGTGAAGCATGGTGGTGAAGCATTATGATTTTCAGCGGCAGGGACTGGGAGACTAGTCAGGATCGAGGGAAAGATGAACAGAGCAAAGTACAGAGAGATATTTGATGAAAAAGTGCTCCAAAGCGCCCAGGACCTCAGACTGAGGCGAAGGTTCACCTTCTAACAAGACAACATCCCTAAGCACACATCCAAGACAACGCAGGAGTAGCTTCGGGACAAAGTCTCTGAATGTCCTTGAGTGGCCCAGCCAGAGCCCGGACTTGAACCCGATCGAACATCTCTGGAGAGACCTGAAAATAGCTGTGCAGCGACGCTCCCCATCCAACCTGACAGAGCTTGTGAGGATCTGCAGAGAAGAATGGGAGAAACTCCCCAAATACAGGTGTGCCAAGCTTGTAGCGTCATACCCAAGAAGACTCAAGGCTGTAATCGCTGCCAAAGGTGCTTCAACAAACTACTGAGTAAAAGGTCTGAATAAATGTGATATTTCCGTTTTTTTATTCTTTATAAAATTTGCAAAAAATTCTAAAAACCTGTTTTTGCTTTGTCATTATGGGGTATTGCGTGTAGATTGATTAGGGAAAAAAACAATTTCATCAATTTTAGAATCAGGCTGAAACGTAACAAAATGTGGAAAGAGTCAAGGGGTCTGACTACTTTCCGACTGCACTGTATGTTAAGTGGAGGGTATGTAGAAATATCCAAATAGACTAAATTGGGCCAGAGGGCGATTGTGGAGGTCTGACGCAGCAGAAACAGACTCAGGAGTCAAGACTGACGATGCCACTTGATGAGGGATTCTGGGATGCCAAACCGACAACCCAGCGACCACATGGATCTCAGAGGCCTATAACCCACAAATCAGCTCTAGAAAGCAGGGCCGCTTCCAGGCTAGCTTCCAGACCACAGCAGCAGCATGAGGAGTCCTTTATCCACCTTATCTTCAGACCAGAGGAGCATTTATCCTAGCCACAGGATTTAGCTAGACTCTGGCTCAAGAGTCTTCCGAATGGTTCTAACCATGGGAACTAGGGAAGCAAAACTGTCTATGAAGTTACTTTTCATCTGATATTTAGCACAAAGAAATGCCCTTTGGAAAAAAGACATTTGACAAACTAGTACTGGAACCTTCCAACATTAGAACCTCACGTTTGATACCCCAATTTTGAGCTCCAGGTTAAACATGAGGTAATTTGGGGGAGGTGAACGTTGCCATTTTGGCTCTCCAGTTTCATGTGGACTTGTGGCAGGCTCATATAAGGCAACTGGTATCTAAGGCTGGCTCATACTTACGGGTGTCCCTTCATTTCTATGTAGTTCTTGGGGATGAAGCCTTCCTTCCCATTCAGCTCTGCCTTGTACCAGTTCTGGTCGCATTCTTCATTCAAAACCTGAAGACACAAAACAGAGGGAAGAGAGTTGAGTCAAATAGTCACAAATGGTTTTAAGCATGGTCGTGACAAACATAAGACAACAAGACTACACTACAAAAACCCACTGACATTAGAGTGGGTACATGAAAGCCAACATAATGATGTGGAAACCATTGGAAGAGCTTACCACAAATATTGTTTAAGGAAGTATCATGCAGATCCTTTATATTCATGTATTGCCATGTACATCCACTGACTGTACAAACATTAGGAACACCTACACTTTCCATGACATAACCTGACCAGGTGAATCCAGGTGAACGCTATGATCCCTTATTGATGTCATTTGTTAAATCCACTTCAATCAGTATAGATGAAGGAGAGGAGACAGGTTAAATAATTATTTTTAAGCCTTGAGACAATTGAAACATGGATTGTGTAAAACAAAAGATTTAAGTATGGTAGTAAGTGCCAGGCGCACTGGTTTGAGTGTGTCAAGAACTGCAACGCTGCTGGGTTTTTCACGCTCAACAGTTTCCCGTGTGTATCAAGAATGGTCCACCACCCAAAGGACATCCAGCCAACTTGACACAACTGTGGGAAGCATTGGAGTCAACATGTGCTAGCATCCCTGTGGAACGCTTTCGACATCTTGTAAAGTCCATGCCACGGTGGATTGAGGCTGCTCTGAGGGCAAAAAAGGGTGCAACTCAATATTAGGATGGTGTTCCTAATGTTTTGTACACTCAGTGTATTTCCCCCATATGCAATGGGGAAAATACTGCTTAGAATACACCATACATCTCATAACTGCCATGTACCATACATATTTCCCCCCTAACCTCCCATACGTCCATTCACAAAGCCAGGTGAAAGGATATTCCATGCCCCAACCCAGGCCCCATGCGTCCTAGTCTAGGTCAGTCAACCTGAACGTGATCATCTGGAGGCTCCACAGTAGGACCTGACCAGACTGCCACCACACCACACCAGCACTACACCAGACCCAGACCCCCTCCTGTCCCCACAGAGACACCATCTGTCACAACCACTCTGTTTCCGGATCCATCAACATCAATGGCTGACACTAACACTCCGTAACCGGGCCAGAGAGCTCCCTGAGAGACAACGACCAAACACTCAGTGGAGTTAAATGGGTTTTTAGGGTTGGATGGAAGAGGATTCCGGTTGATAGAACATGAATTGGATTTTAGGTGTGAGTGGGAGAAGTTGTAGTATGAGTCTTGGTGGAATTGCTCTTTCTGGATGAGTTTGTTTTGGAGTGAAAAATTGCTTATATTGTCTATAAAGGCAACTTCTACCTAGACAGATTAGTTCAAACATATGAACTTACACCTCCACTCTTTATTTCCTTGTCTATGTCTGATGCCAAACCAACTCAGCTTCCGCACGGGAGTGGGGCCTGCATCGTCTCCTACAGTGTCTCCACACTCTATGGTGGATGACCCGTCATCTTAGTGGAGAGAAATGACCTGGCTCAGTCTCTTAGCCTTCGCTGGTCTCAGTAAACACCCATTAATCTTAGCTTTCTCTCGTTCTCTCTCTGTCTCTGCCATGGGGCTATGGCGCCACTCTTCCCAGGCCACAAGTGAAATGGACTGCCACTGTAAACACGGGAAACAATGTGCACCAAGCAGGAAGAAAAGACATGGGTTATATTTTAGGCTTACTAATGTAAATAATAGTGGGTTATAAATGTATAGGCAGTTGTGATATGTCACATATTGGCCAATTTTTAAATGGAGCTAACCGCGCTAGTGATCTTCATCAACTCTACTACTGGGCAATTTGACGGTAACAGAATGATGCTGAGACTCAGAATTTTCACTTTAAAATGAATGTCAAACAAAAACCAATGATTGCTTAGTTAAACAAACCCTACAACTCTATTCACAAGGAGGACTTCTAACAATTTCCACTGAAAATGTTACAAAAACACATTTACTTGAAGAACAGTGCAGATTCAAAGTTTGGTAACAGAATGACTGCAAAGTTTGGTAACAGAATGATGGTTTGTGTCGTCATTCTGTTACCAAACTTTGAATCTGCACTGTTCTTCAAGTAAATGTGTTTTTGTCAAATGTTCTGTGGAAATTGTTAAAAGTTGTCCTTGTGCAAAGAGTTGAATGCTTTTGTTTGACACACATTTTAAAGTGAAAAATCGGAGTCTCAGCATCATTCTGTTACCGTGGAATTGCCCCACTGTATACCATAGATCTTTGTTCCAAAAATAACTATAACCTGGAACCAGTGTTGTACTAGCTGACCTCCTTTTCCTGTGGAGGGAAATCTGCATATATGCAAAATATGCCCCAATTTCTGTTCTATTGAATTCAAATCCCCCATTGGCAGAGAGGAGGGGTTTAAGAGAGATAAGCAAGCATACAACACACACACACAGAAAGTGACAGATTATGAGGAGGTGGATACCCCTATTTGTTCTGAGGGAGGCTGGTGTGTGTGTGTCTCTACTGTTGGCCTCTGACTGCTTCCCAATCTGCCAATCACACACACACATCTACCAGCTGTCCCTCAGTCAGTACCTCCCATAGCATGGCCAGTACAATGTGTGTGTGGCACATGCCTCTTTCGAACACTGGCCGGCTGTCCCTCTAAACTCTGCATGACCTCACACTCCAAAACACGGTAATAACCACTCACACAGGTTGAGAGCGCAGAAGATACACATACACACAGAGAGAGAGACACTCACACACACACAGTTCCACCCCCCTCCCCCCTTCAAACACACACGCCCAGCTGCTCAGTCCTGGTGACTCACCCAGTGCTCCGTCACAGCCAGTCTGTACCCTGGGGGCTGTGTTGGCCTGAGCAGGATTCTAAAGTGATAGCTACTGCTAGTGATAAAGAGAGAGTGGTGCTGTAACCTTGTGAAGAGTCAGAGCCTGTAGTATGACTCACTGTGGGCCAAGTGGCTATGACTGCATGCTGCTCATACATGAATCTCTGAGGGAGAGGGAGAGCTAATGTCTCTGTGCCAGTGTAAGTGTGTGTGTGTGTGTGTCTGTGGGAGTGAGTACATCCATATGTGTGTGTGCCTGTCTGTGCACTCCCATGTCTGTGTGGAAATGTGCAACAGTGTCTCTGTGTGTCTCTGTGTGTGTGTGTCTGTCTCTGTGTCTGTAGGAGGCTGGTGGGAAGGAAATGAGGGAGATAATGACTCTCCTCTGCGAGACAGGAGCTCCGGCTGCTGATAAAAGTAATTAAGCTAATGCTAGGAAACAAGGAGCTAGTGCTTTGACGAAGAGAGAGAGAGAGAGAGAGAGAGAGAGCGAGAGAGAGAGAGAGAGAGAGAGGAAGAGGAAGAGGAAGAGGAAGAGAAGGATAAGTAGAGAGAGGAAACGACAGAGGGGGAAAGAGAGAGACATGTACACAGAAGTAGAGGGTGTGTCCTGTATGTGAGTGTGTGTGGTTTGGGGGGCTGTATGAGGGTCATAACAGGTGGAACAACAGTAGAGTACTGGACTCTATACTGGAAGCAATGTGGTCGCTCTCCCCCTTCATATTAACCCTTCCAACCCAACCATAAGAGTAAGACGTAAGAGAGAGAGTTTCTCTTAAGACACATCTAATCCATGGTCTGGAAGGCTATAACTTTGTTATCATTGTTTTTCATTCCTATAAAGACTTTGAGAGCATGTTATGAAAAAATCAAGGCCATGCATTTGGCACTATAGCAAAGTGAATTTGAGCCAGGGATTTGTAAAAGCCAAATAAAGACAAGCGCACTTCAAAGAATGAGACAATCAAAACAGACTAGTAAAACCTATCTGACACTGCATTGGGACAGTGTCAGTCAATGTCTGTTTTCTGGCTACCATTAACAGTACATTTTGTTGTACAGTACATTGTTTCATCAGTGGCTGTCTAATTCAGTTTGGACTTCCCATAACAGAGGCCGGTAATGTATTTTCAAGCTGGAAAAACATAAAACTGTCGACTTGAAATTAAATGAGACCACACCACTCAGTGCTATAATAGCATCTGCTAGTTTGATCATATCAGGCCTAGGGGCAGAAACAGAGAGGTATCCTAGCTGCCACAATAGGCTGACTGGCTGGGGCAAAGACATGCACACACATCTGTCTCTCTTAGCTCTTTCTTCCTGTCTCACACATTGATGCATTCTCTCTCTCTGTCTCCACCTTTCTTGATACCTCTCTGTATCCAGATTCATCGCAATCTCTCCCTTTTCTCCTTGTACTACCTCTCCCTTTCTCTCTGTACTACCTCTCCTTTTCCCTTCAGTCTCCACTGCTCTCTCTCTATTTTCTATACAGAAGCACAATGACATGTATAGGCTATGTTATCAGCAACCATATCACAGTGCTAACGGAGGGTGAAGCTATAAGCTCCTGCTTCCCATTCAGCATGCAGAACCATAGACAGTGGCTGTATTGAATTATATATATATATATATCAGTATGGTAATCGCCTCACAGAGTGTTAGTGGTCGTGGCTGAGGCAAATTCTTCTGGACTGATGTCGTTGCCTTGTTGTAAACCTCTGTAAGGGCATTGAGGCTGTTACATTTACAAAATCAGGCCCCGGAGTCATCTCCTTCACAGCTGCCACACACACACACACACACACACACACACACACACACACACACACACACAAACACCATCATGATCATCCCAAATCCTCATTCTGCCATCTCCTAAACCAGACGTGATAGTCTTGTGATGGCCCCATTACTGCTGCAGCCACCGTGCCCTGAGGAACTAAGTGTGTGTGTGTGTGTGTGTGTGTGAAGAACCACTGTGGTTTTTCAGGAGGAAAGGACACCAGATAGGGCTGTACGTGACATGAGATAAAATGACCTGGGAGGAAGGTCCCTGTTAACACGCTTCACCATGGGAGTGGAACACTCCTGTCAATGGCTGTGGGTGGCAAAACCACATGCATGGACGCATACTAACACACATAGAGACACAAACACACTCCCACAGGCATGCACACGCACGGTTTCGCATTGAATTCACATGCACGCACACACACACACACACACCTTGCACGCCTATCCACATCTAAATATAGGACACCAATGCTACTGCACCATGTTCTCTCATATTTAAATAAAAGAAGGTCTCATACAAGAGCATGAGAGAGGAGGGGTAGAAGGAAGAGAAGAAGACTGAGGGCAGTAGAGAAGAAGGATGGAAGAGAGGGAGGGAGGGAGATGGAAGAGGGGTATTTTGCCACTGCAGAGTGTAGTCCAGAGGGGATTGGGAAGGAATCAAACTACAGGATTATAACCACGGGTGTGAATTCAATCTAGGCAAGAACTCAGCAGACACCATGCTCTTAAATCTAAAGCATATCCACAGGGGGTTCCTCTCCTCGATTCCTCTGCTCCTTCACTCCGTCGACACACTTACTGCCTTCTGCCTCCTAATTGCCCGCACTGGCAAAAACAAGAGAGACTTGTGTGTGGTGTGTGAGTGTGGAGAATTTGTGTGTGTGTGTTTCAGTGTGTGTGTGTATGTATACATGTGTTTCAGTGTGTGTGTGAGTGTGTTCTGTATCCACAACCAGCCAGGAAACAAGGCATTCAGGGCGAATACTGGTTGTTGGTGCGTCATGAATATACATGAGATGGGAGAAGAGAAGGAAGGAGAGAAAAAAATAGAGCATAATGAAAGAGAGAAATACAGAGAGAGAAATACAGAGAGAGAGAGAGAGAGAGAGAAATACAGAGAGAGAGAGAGAGAGAGAGAGAGAAAGCAAGAGAGCAAGAGAGAGAGAAATACAGAGAGAGAGAGAGAGAGAGAGAGAGAGAGAGAGAGAGAAAGCAAGAGAGCAAGAGAGAGAGAAATACAGAGAGAGAGAGAGAGAGACACACACAGGAGGCAGGCTTATCTTTCTCCCTGAGAGGTAAACAGGCGAGGTGTCTGTGGAGGCGTGTGGGGAAACAGACGGGCGATACCTGACAGAAAACTTAATGAACTATGTGAGGGGAATCAGAGTGTGTGTGTGTGTGTGTGTGTGTTGGGAATCAGAGCAGACAACAACATTGATCAACTGCAGAGGGGAACGTGCAAAAGGAATTCATTTATATCTACACTGAACAAAAATATAAACGCAGCAATCAACAATTTCAAAGATTTTACTGAGTTATAGTTCATATAAGGAAATCAGTCAATTGAAAAAAATCATTAGGCCCTAATCTATGGATTTCACATGACTGGGAATAAAGATATGCATCTGTTGGTCACATACCTTAAAAAAAAAAAGGTAGGGGCGTGGATCAGAAAACTAGTCAGTATCTGGTGACCACCATTTGCCTCATGCAGCGCGACACATCTCCTTCGCATAGAGTTGATCAGGCTGTTGATTGTGGCCTGTGGAATGTTGTCCCACTCCTCTTCAATGGCTCTGCGAAGTTGCTGGATATTGGCAGGAACTGGAACACGCTGTCGTACACGTCGATCCAGAGCATCCCAAACATGCTCAATGGGTGACATGTCTGGTGAGTATGCAGGCCATGGAAGAACTGGGATATTTTCAGCTTCCAGGAATTGTGTACAGATCCTTGCGACATGGGGCTGTGCATTATCATGCTGAAACATGAGGTGATGGCGGCGGATGAATGGCATGACAATGGGCCTCAGGATCTCATCACGGGTATCTCTGTGCATTCAAATTGCCATTGATAAAATGCAATTGTGTTCGTTGTCCATAGCTTATGCCTGCCCATATCATAACCCCACTGCCACCAAGGAGCACTCTGTTCACAATGTTCCGCAAACCGCTCGCTCACACATAGCCATCTGCCCGGCACAGTTGAAACCATGATTCATCCGTGAAGAGCACACTTCTCCAGCATGCCAGTGGCCATCGAAGGTGAGCATTTGCCCACTGAAGTCGGTTAAGACGCTGAACTGCAGTCAGGTAAAGACCCTGGTGAGGACGACGCGCACGCAGATAAGCTTCCCTGAGAGAGCATGCAGATGAGCTTCCGTGAGACGGTTTCTGCCAGTTTGTGCAGAAATTATTCGGTTGTGCAAACCCACAGCTTCATCAGCTGTCCGGGTGGCTGGTCTCAGACGATCCCCCAGGTGAAGAAGCCGGATGTGGAGGTCCTGGGCTGGCGTGGTTACACGTGATCTACAGTTGTGAGGCCGGTTGGACGTACTGCCAAATTCTCTAAAATGACGTTGGAGGCAGCTTATGGTAGAGAAATGAACATTCAATTCTCTGGCAACAGCTCTGGTGGACATTCCTGCAGTCAGCATGCTAATTGTACACTCCCTCAAAACTTGAGACGTCTGTGGCATTGTGTTGTGTGACAAAACTGCACATTTGAGTGTGGCCTTTTATTGTCCCCAAGGTGACCTATGTAATGATCATGCTGTTTAAATCAGCTTCTTGATATGCCACACCTGTCAGGTGGATGGATTATCTTGGCAAAGGATAAATACTTAACCAAAAGGGATGTAAATATATTTGTGCACAACATTTTAGAGAAATAAGCTTTTTGTGCGTTTGGAACATTTCTGGAATCTTTTATTTTTGTTCAGTATATTTCCGAATTTCACGAAGAAGCTCTACATAAACGCACAAGCATCTGCTTTGTCTCCATAACAACTTACAAATAGTTCTTTAAGCTCCGATTTATAGTAGCATACTGTAGGAATTGGTATTGTGAACAAAGTGGTGCATTTCCATGTACAGTACAGTGATTTGCATCCATTTAGACCTCTGAAACAAACAACTATGACATGTCTACAACATTATCCAACCCACTGCTTTATGAAAATAGCAACATTAAGCATTGATGCATACTTTGCATAGTAACATGGTACCTAGCGTGTCTACAACATCATCCAAACTACTGCTTTACATAAATAGCAACACTAAACATTGATGCATAGTATAATAGCATGGTGTACAAAGCAGCGGTGTATGCCCCTTACATCACAGTCACACTACAACATTACACAATCCTCTAGTTGGAATTAATCTTGCATTGCCAGTTGCCACACTTCCAAGACATTCAAGACTTCACTTGGATAAAGTCAGTGGTAATCGAGGTTCATTACGCAACCCTCTAGTTTTCTGGGATTTTGGATGGTGCCAAGAGCCTAGCATGTAGCAGCTGGGGCCTTGCTATCCTGGAGAGATGTGTGCTGTTGTGTCCCTCTCTGCCACTGTCCTGGTCCTGCCCAGTTGGCCCCGGTTCCAGCCTCTGTTTTTGTAGGGCTAATCCATGAAGTCTATTTATCCTGTGTCGGAGGAAGGGATAAAGGGTGCGACAGCTAAACCGCTAATCCAGCTTCAGCCCTGGGACACTTTTAACGATATCCCAGATTGGGGCTGTCTGGATTAGAAAGGAGAGAGAGTCTGGCTGATGTCTAGTCAAACACAATCTGGACTGCAGGAACTCCAGGGAGAGAGAGAGAGAAATAGAACGAGTGTGTGAAAGAGCAGGCCCGCTAGGTTCAGACAGGCAGTCACAACAGAGCCCACTCAGACTAGACTGGAGAGAGGCTCAGTGTAGGGGACAGGGCTCTGAGGGCCTAGTCTGCCCAGATGGCCCCTCTCAGACACTCTCTCCCCTGGGAGGGCTTTCTATCTATGTCTGCAAACTGTCAACAACAGTAGAGTTTCAGGGTCAGCGCAGAGAGAGAGAGAGAGAGAGAGAGAGAGAGAGAGAGACACACAGAGAGGCGAGAGAGAGAGAGCAGAGGCGAGTGAGAGAAGAGCAGAGAGGCCGAGAGAGAGAGAGAGAGAGAGAGGAAGAGAGAGACAGAGACAGAGAGGAGAGAGAGAGACAGTAGGCGTAGAAAGCGAGAGACAGAAGAGGCAAGATGAAAGGAGAGAAGGCATAGATAAGAGAGAGAGCAGAGGCAGGTATGAGAGAGAGACATGAGGCTAGAGAGATGAGAGAACAGGAGGCCTATAGTAGAAGGTCACAGAGCGAGAGTAGAGTACAGAGAGCAGAGGAAGGAGAGAGAGAAGCGAGAGAGAGGAGACGAAGCAGAGAGAGAGAACAAGAGAGGCGAGAGAGAGAGAGACAGAGAGGCGAGTGAGAGAGAACGAGAGGGCGAGAGAGAGAGAGACAGAGAGGCAGAGAGAGAAGACAGAGAGCGAGAGAGAGAAGACAGACAGGCGAGAGAGAGAGAGACAGAGAGCGAGAGAGAGAGACAGAGAGGCGAGAGAGAGAGACAGAGAGGCGAAGAGAGAGAGACAGAGAGGCGAAGAGAGAGCAGAGGCAGAAGAAGAGAGAGAGAGGCGAGAGAGAGACAGAGAGGCGAGAGAGAGAGACAGAGAGGCGAGAGAGAGAGAGACAGAGAGGCGAGAGAGAGAGAGACAGAGAGGAGAGAGAGAGACAGAGGAGAGAGAGAGAGACAGAGAGGCGAGAGAGAGAGAGACAGAGAGGCGAGAGAGAGAGAGACAGAGAGGCGAGAGAGAGAGAAGAATCAACAGGAGCTTTTAGTGCAGGAGAAGAAAGCATACACGAACAAACACATGCACGTCACAAGCTAACCCCTCTACCCTGCTCTCTGCCTGCTTCACTGACAGGTGTAGTGAGTGGTATGACATCTTCTGCTTGTGAAGGAGCGCAGGGGTTACTTGGTGGAGGAATGAGTCACTCTGATACTCTGGCTGGGAAGATGAAGAGAAGATGAGTGTCCCTGGTGTATCGCTAACGCTAACTATGTCTCTCGCCTCACAGGAGACACAGCGGGCAGCCGGGCCTGGGCACGTTAGCGCTAACGTAAACAAGTTAGCGCGGTAATGCTAACTGACAAGCAGACGCTACAGAGGTAATTGCAACTGATCCTATTTTGAGGAGAACTATTGAACTAGGCTATGCTTTAGTGCAGGAGAAAGCACACATATCACGATCTGGCCCTGCTCTGCTGTGAGGTATGACATCTTCTGTGGTACTATGCTCAGTGTTTTCCACTAGCGCTGTCTATCGGCTATACAGCCGATTACTGACACATTTTCAGCCGGCTAGCTTAAACTAGTTAGGCTACTTTCAATTCGCTAGTCAGAAAAAAAAAGTATGCAGCGCCCTCTCTCGCTACAATGAACGATATGCATCTTCTAGCGATCTATTGATAAGACAGGCAACTGTCAGTCACAAAGTGAGCGATGACGCTGAAACACTGCTGATTTGACAGTCTGCGGTCTGTCCCGCCTCTCGGTACTTGGGTGTGTGTGTTGTGTGCGCTGTGGTTGCAGTCACATTTCTTTACACGGAGGGAGAGCATGAATTTGCATGTCCCATATAATGTGAGTGAATTTGCACATCCTATATAATGTGCTAACGATGAGTCTAAATCCACTTTTAGTGAAAGTGATTTACAAAAGTAAACCTTCAATAGTGAACATACTAGCAATATGCTGGCTACTGTTGAAAAAGAAAGCTACAAAAAGAAAACTAGCATTAGCCTTGGCTAGCCTACTGTAGCCATGTCGATATGTCTTTTGGAACATTTGTCTTAAAGGGACAGTGTCCCTCTTCTCAAAATGACACACTTTAGAAACAAAAATGTATGCAATTAATACAATGCAATTCTAAGGAATAGCTTAACGACTTGCATTGCCAAATTATATTACACAGCTTTTTAATACATATAATAACCAAACGTATCCTATTAATAGCTGAATATAAAGAGAAAGCATGCCAACCTATAGGCCCTGCATGACCCCAGCGCATTTAAAGGGATACTTCGGGGTTTTGGCAATGAAGGAAGATGGAGTTAGTTTTGCAAGCTAATGCTAGGTACCAACTAGCATGCTAGCAGTTACCATAGACTTACATTTACATTTTAGTCATTTAGCAGACGCTCTTATCCAGAGCGACTTACATTATTTATATATAATTGTTTTTTTCCCTACCCCCTGTGGGAATCGAACCCACAACCCTGGCGTTGCAAACGCCATGCTCTATCAACTGAGCTACATCCCTGCCGGCCATTCCCTCCCCTACCCTGGACGACGCTGGGCCAATTGCGCGCCGCCCCATGGGTCTCCTGGTCACGGCCGGCTACGACAGAGCCTGGATTCGAACCAGGATCTCTAGTGGCATAGCTAGCACTGCAATGCAGTGCCTTAGACCACTGCGCCATTGTACTAATGCTAGTTAGCAATTGCGCTAATGCTAGTTACCAACTTCCTTCAAACTTCAGACATTCATTACCAAAATCTTGAAATATCCCTTTAAGAACTACACCATGTCTGGGCCAGTATAAATTCTGTTCGGGCCAGTAGATTTTTTGCTAACTGGCACGACTGGGACAGTGAGAAAAAAAGTTAATGTTGGACCCTGGCATGTTTGATATGCAGCCACGGAGTGGTGGCGCATTGGCTATTTACTTTGCTTTGACTGACGAACAGCAAGCTTGACTTGTTTATAAAAGGTGTCCAACTGACTGAATAAATGTGATCTCATATATCCTTGCTAGTCATAAATGATACAACGTAGTTACTGTATATGTCCATGGTATCGGGACAAGTAAACTAAAGATCTCGTTTGTATTTTTGATCTGAAGTCCATCAGGACTGGCAAGACAGTGACGTTAAAGTGAGCGACTCGTCAGTAGTCTACCGAATTGCATCTGTAAGGCCCTCCTGTAGCTCCGTTGGTAGAGCATGGCGCTTGCAACGCCAGGGTTGTGGGTTCGATTCCCACGGGGGGCCAGTATGAAAAATGTATGCACTCACTAACTGCAAGTTGCTCTGGATAAGAGCGTCTGCTAAATGACTAAAAATGTAAATGTAAGCGAGCCATTCATTTGGCTCCCTAATTTCCATACTGGTAGGCTTTGAATTGTTTTAAAAGATAATTATACTTATTTTCAAAGATATTGATATACAGTAGGTTTACTGATTTAATCTAAGTATTGACAATGGAGTAGTCAACTGCTGCTTTCTGTGTGGCAAAGCCTATGTTTAACACCTGCTTCATTCTTCAATCATACCTGAAGCCTATGGAAGTCATCAGACTCTTACAGGATTTTTTAAAGGCCCAGTGTAGCCAAAATTAAGTTGTTCCTGTGTTTTGTATCATATTGCACAACAGCTGATTAAACTAACAACGTAAAAGTGAGAAAATATTTGATCAGTGTTATTTCCGGATACATTGTATTTTCAGCCAGAAACTATTAGAATGTACCAGAGTTCAGCAAAAATGTTTTAACCCGATCCTGGCTTGCTACATTTTTCAATTAGCACTATGCTGTTGTTTAGTGTGAAGGAGCACAGGGGTAACTTAGGGGAATGAGTCACTCTGATCGGGAAGATGAGCAGAAGATGAGAGTCCTGCAGGTTGGGGCTGGTGCCTGCCTAGCATGTTGGCACTCTAACGCCAACTGACTCACCCACGGTGATGACAGAGGCCAGCTGGGGATGAGTCAGCATGAGGCAACAGAGGGTCTACATCGTCCATCATCTTTTTGTCCCAACTAGGCAACAAACCTAACCAACTGAGCTAATTGATCAGTTCAGTGATTGACTGAATTTAACACAGCTGGTCTTCCAGGTCAGTTCAATCAAAAACTTGGCACTCAAGGACTAGGGTTGAGAGTCCTGTATGTTGGCACTCAAGGACTAGGGTTATCCCAGAGAGGAAGGCTTATTCCCAATACCTCCCCTTAGCCCTCCCCCTCGTTTTAGAGGGTCGCTCGGTGGAGGAGTGGCACTCGAAAATGGAGCAACGAGTGGTAGGGAGAGCTAAATTAGGTCTAGGGAATGGGACATCACTACATAACTTGCGCACATCAGAAACTGCAAATGGATACCATGCAATTCATTGACGACGAGCCTTGTGTTTTTCACAATGCCTGTACTAGCGGCAATAATAGCTTTCCTTATATTTCTCATGCAACAAATACGTACTTACCATATGAGCAACAAATGAGAACAGCAGAACAACAATATGCACGTAATGTCCCCATCCTCTGGTTGTGGTTCAATGTGGACTACTACTGAAGCAGGACTTTCATTCCTTAGCAGTTTGACATATAACAGTCACATTTCCTTCACTCAGTCATTACCAGTGGAAGTATTGTAACTAGAACAATTAAAACCACTGTTCTGAACTAGTATTTATACCAAACGTTTTAGAGTCCATACACAGATCGTTTACATAGCTACGCTACCTGCATTGGCAAATATTTTCAATCTCTAACGTTAATGTTAAGTTTAGGGGATGTGAAAAAAAAAATGCGTAACTTTTAAATGCCAATTTTTGTATCGGTTTTCCGTTAAAACTATAAGGAAATTAATACAAAATTCCATGTGAATTCACAATGCAGATGGTCTACATCACACTTCCTGCTGATTGAGAAAATTGGCGCGTGTAGCTTGCTGTTGGCACGTGTAGCTTGTTGTTGTCCAATGACAAGTCATCAAACCGGCACTAGGCTACAGTCATAGCTAGAGGCTCCGTGTGGAAGATATCTAGGCTAATCAATGGAAGATGGAATAAAAATGACAGAACTAAAAGTTAAATGAGAAGGACAGGCTACAACACTGAGAGCCAACAGGTAGGCTGCTACTTAATAGAAAGGAATGGAAAGCGCACAGTTAAAGTTATGTATAGTCACTTTACCCCTACCCTGCCTGGCTGCTGCCTCTCTCCCTCGTGCAGCTCCGGTAAATAAAGTGGCTTTTTTCCCCTCCTACTAAATGTTACAGAATTGTTGCATTAGGTATTTGTTTAAAACAAAAAAATCCCTTTATGGTGATGATCGGGACTTGTTTGTGGTAGCACTGTGAGAAAAAAGCTTGTGAGAAAAGAAAAACAGCGCTTTTCGGTTAGGGATTTTTTCTTAACATTAACAATCCCAATTTCATTTCAAACGTTTTAAAGTTTAAACGTTCACACCCCTAGTTAAGTTACTACAATAAAGAACAACGACAAGTGAAATATTTTTTTTATGAACAGCAAAACAAGCTTACAAAATTGTACAATCAATTTGCAGTAAATGCTTTAGCTAGCTAGCTAAGCTAGATTCTTTACATCAAGATGACAGCCTGGTTTCCTGGTTTATTCAGGAGTCCCTAAAACATGAAACAACACAAATCACAATTCATACAAATGTCACGCCCATATAGCAAGCTAAATGTATAGCTAGTTGGCTAATGTTAGCTAGTCAGCTTGTTAAATAGCGATTTTTGTAAATTAACTTTATGACCAAAAAATATGCATAATCCTTTTCTGCATTAACATATTCCTCTTAACTGTACATTGTTTTGCATTATTTGTTATGACGTTATAATTACTTACGTTTGCTTCCATCATAGTATTTTTGCCAGCCATCTTCCTGAAGCAACTTTACAGACTTAGGGTCGCAGAGCTTCATGGCAGTTCTGATAACCACTCGATAGGAAGTCTGCATGCCAATTTGCTTCGTTTGGAGGGCCAACTGCAGGGCTAAAAGGCACTACCCCTCGCTCAAAGTTGAATTGGAACACCACTCCGACTCAATGCGACTCGAGGGATGGTGCAAAATGGAGGGGGAGGACTAAAGGGGAGGTACTGGGATTAAGCCCGAAGAGGTGAAGCAAGTGGGTTTGCTCCACCCAAA